TCCAGCTCTCCCATTTCCACTGGGCCGCCAGGGCCCGCAACCCTCCCAGCCTCCCATTCCCTGCCCCCATCCTCACCACTGGTCCCACGCAACTCTGGGCCCGTACTTTCCCAGGCAGCCCTCTCCTTTGAGTTTCTTCCTTGTCAATCCCGATTCTCCCCATTCCTTTTTTTTCCCCCCCTCGGTATTTGCTTTCCTGGTTCCCTTTTATTTGACCTGTCAAACCCACATCACCAGACAGCCCCGCTTTTTTCCAGCCACAAGCCCCAGGCTCCAGAAAAGCAGCTCCCTGGCCTGATGAGAGTGGGAGGGTCCCCCAGGTCCCACAACTCCTTTCTGGCCACCTGCCTTCCCTGAGAATGCTTGGAGGTCCATCTGTTTTCAACAAAATGTGTTGCGGGACTATTATTTACTAACACTGTGCCAAGGACAGGGACATTGGGAGCTTAAGTCACGGGGCCTGCCCTTTATGAGCAATTGGCTTGGGAAAGAAACGAGGAAAGAAGTAAATATGGTTCAGCTGAGTGAGCCTTTGATAGAGGCAAATTAATATTATCAATGATGATGATGCCTCTAACACAAGAAAAACCTACCTCTGAGGTAAGTGTTATCCCCATTTTACAGGAGGGGAAACTGAAGTTCAAAGCAATTGCATTACTTGCCCAAAGTAATGACAACTCACACAACTGCTAAAGAACAAAACCAAAACAGCAAATCCAACTCTGGTACCAAAAGAGGCAGCATGTTTTCCATATCATCTTGCATGCTGTGTCTGGAAGCTTCTGGAAATCCTAAGGTGCTTCAAAGAAAGGTGGCATTTAGCTTAAGTAGGAATCCCACAGGTGAAAAATGAGGGGTGGTCCATCTATCCAGTGAAAGGGTGGCACAAAGCAGGGTAGGACAGGCATGGAGGCAGAGAGGAGGGGGACAGGGATGTTGCCCTGTCACCCAAGGAGCAGACTCCGAAGGATAGCTCTGTCTTTGCTCCAGAGGTGGGTTTTCCCTGCCCTGGATAACATTCTGGGCAGGCTCTGTGGCTTTTCTAATCCCTCCAAGATAACAAAGGAATAGTGTCTTTATTTGGCATTAAAAAAATAATTAAAATCCAGTCTACTCTACAAATCACCCAACCTCAGTCCAGGCCGCAGTGACATTAAAAATTCAGAATCTTGGGGCACCTGGGTGGCTCAGTCGGTTGAGCGACTGACTTTGGCTCAGGTCATGATCTCACAGTTCATGAGTTCGAGCCCCACATTGGGCTCTGTGCTGACAGCTCGGAGCCTGGAGCCTGCTTTGGATTCTGTGTCTCCCTCTCTCTCTGCCCCTCCCCCTCTCACACTCTGTTTCTCTCTCTCTCTCTCAAAAATAAAATAAAACATTAAAAAATTTTTCAGAATCTTGGGGAGCCTGGGTGGCTCAGTCGGTTGAGCGTCCAACTTCAGCTCAGATTGTCGAGATCTCACTCTTCGTGAGGTCAAGCCCCACACTGGGCTCACTGCTGTCAGAATGGAGCCCGCTTCGAATCCTCTGTCCCCCTCGAGCTCTCTCTCTCTCAAAAATAAATAAACATTAAAAATTTTTTGGAATATTAGTCACCAAGGAGATGCACATTGAAACCATAATGTAATAATTATGACACACCTATTAGAATGGGTTAAAAAAATAAAAACAACAATACCAAATACTGGTGAGGATGGGGAGCATTTATATTTTCTTATAAAGTTAAATTATACAGTTACCACATGACTCACTAGTCCCACTTGTGGTATTTACCCAGGAAAAATGAAGACATATATCCAAACAAAAAGCCTGTGTAATGCTTACAGCAATTTCATTTATAATCACCAAAGAGTGGAAACTGCCCAAATGTCCATCATCTGGCGGATAAACGGATTGGGGGTCACCGGCACAATGGGACTAGTATTTAGCAACAAAAAGGAGCAAACCACTGATCCAGGCAGCAACAATGTGAATGAATCTCAAAAGTACTGTGCCAGACACAGAAGGCAGCTTACTGTATTATATCATTTATAGGACATTCTGGAAAAAGACAAAACATTGGGACAGAAAACAAAGAAGGGATTGTTGCCTTGGGCTGGGAGTAGGCTGAGAGATGGGACTATGGAAAGATATGAGGGGCACCTGGGTGGCTCGGCTGAGCATCTGACTTCAGCTCAGGTCATGATCTCCTGGTTTGTGAGTTTGAGCCCCGCATCAGGCTCAGAACCTGGAGCCTGCTTCAGATTCTGTGTCTCCCTCTTTCTCGGTCCCTCCCCTGCTCAGACTCTGTCTCTCGCTGTCTCTCTCAAAAATAAATAAACATGAAAAAAAATTTTTAGGGACGCTTGGGTGGCTCAGTCGGTTAAGCATCCGACTTCAGCTCAGGTCATGATCTCGCAGTTTGTGAGTTCGAGCCTCACGTCAGGCTTGGAGCCTGCTTCGGATTCTGTGTCTCCCTCTCTGTCTGCCCTTTCCCTTCTCACTCCCTCAAGAATAAATAAACATTTTTAAAAAACTGTAAAAAATTTTTTTTTGAAAAGAAAAAAAAAGGTATGAGGAAACTTTTTGGGGTGATGAAAACATTCTGTGCTATGATCATGGTGGTAGTTCAATGACTGCATATGTTTGTCGAAGTTCACATACACCTAAGAGGGATAGATTTTAT